TTTCTTTCTTTCTTTCTTTCTTTCTTTCTTTCTTTCTTTCTTTCTTTCTTCCTTCCTTCCTTCCTTCCTTCCTTCTTTCCTTCCTTCTTTTCTTTCTTCCTTTTTTAAGTAAAGTCCTCTAAAAGATGCATGGGGAATTGAATTGGGCTAATCCTCAAGAAATACAGTGAATGGAACATGAGTCCATACAATTAACTAAAACCTACTTAACACGTCAGAGTGGCAGTATTGGTCTTTCCAATCCTCTACCACAGAATTTTAGCATGGCAATTCCCCTTTATTGACAACTGTGCCTAAGGCATTGTCAGTCACTCCCATACTTGTATGAGACATCAGACTGTAGTGTAATCCATACATATATAAAATGTTAGACTGAGCTATATTCTTTAGAAATCATCTCTGTATTTAACAGATGTTTCTAAAGTAATTGGAGATTCCAGTCTCTAATAGAAAATGCTGTGCTAACTTCATGGGCAAGTGGAGAAGAGTTTAAGAAGATATGATGTGATGGACTCTAGTGCCTGAGATTCACATTATTCCTGGATTTGTGCTAAGTAGAGGACTCTAAACTACTAGCATGCACCTCAACACACACCATGGCTGGATAACCTGCCATGCCAATTAAAGAATCATCTTATCAGCTGTTTTCCTCACTAACCCCATCCTTGATTCACTTTTCAAGATTATTAAATATCTCTTTTACTCCGTGCTTACCCCCAATTCCATTTAAATATTCAGAAGTCTCTATTTTTTTTTCCTGGAGTGGAGACACTTTTTTCTTGAGGCCCTAAACTAATGCAGGAAGGGTGAAGTTGATGATGAAGTTGGGAAATACTAGAAAGGCTTGCCAAGTAGTCTTGTTCATGCCTTCTCCCCTGTCTGAAATATAAGTGGACCATCAGAAATTTAAGTATGGTGGAAGCTAATATCCCAAAATTATCTGGTCAGGCAATATAAACCAATAAGTAAAACAAAAAAATTACATTTTTTCCTCTATCCAATCTGACATTATAAAGCTTTTATGACCAAATTCTTTTAAAACATGCTTTTAATTTCCAAATTCATGTTTCCTTTATTAATAACAGTCAACTATACGAACCAAAATCTATTTTAAATTTTCTATGGAAAACGTACTCATATTCTTTGGCTTGACTACAGCGAGACTAACCAGGGGCAATGTATAAAAGTTGAAAAGAGGCATTCATAGGTTTTATGTCAGTAAAAACTTCTGAACAATTAGAGTGATCCAAACACGGAATGTGCTGTCTCAAGAAAGACTGGGCTCCTGAATGGACATTGTAGAGGGAAGACATGAGTTGGATGAGATGACCTCTGAGGTCCTTTCCAACAAAGATCCTATGATTCTTTATTTGGGTAATATTTTGTGCAGATAAAATAGAAAATAGACAATGGGAATGGGATTCTGGAAAACTAAGACTCATTTTTTACTAGGGATTTGATTCTGGTTATTCAACATACTGTTCTTACAACACAACATATAAAGCCCAACTTTAAGTGTTACAGATGTCATCAAAAAGGCACATGGCTTTGAGAAGGAACACCCATTGATGGTTCACCATTCAGTGAAGCTATTGGTGACAGGAAATGAAAAGATGAGAGTGGTAGCAGCATTTACTAGGTTTGGGGATTCCTTACTTCAGTTTTAGTAACATCAAATTTCCTATTGAAAAGTCTATCACTATGCTTGCTGAAAATATTTTCATCTTAGACTTTGCATTAAAGAAATATGTAATTAGTAACACATTTATGATTACCACATTTTGCTAACTTTGTGGAAATGCAGTCAAAACTGTTGTTCCCAAGAGTATTTTTTACTTAAAGAACTGGTATCCCAACCAAAAATGTAAACAAGGCTTGTGGATATTATTTAGTCTTTACCCAATAGACTCTCACGAGGTTTTCTTTTCTCTTCCGCCCTCCCCCACATTTTTCTCCTTTGATTTCAGTCTTGTGTGTTTGATATGTTCTTTGTCACATTTTTGCTTTACTTGCCTCACAGGGTTGTTAGGAGGATCAAAAGAGATAATGTATGTAAAGTGCTTTTTAAACCCTAAATTGCTGTACACATGTCAACCATCATCATCATTATCATTAGAATTGCTTTTTCTAATTTTTTTTCAGTACCTTCTCTTTTCAACTTGAGTTTTCTATTGTATTTTATATTTCTTTTAACTTCTCTCTTCAGTTGTTTTTCCCTCTGTCTAATAACATCCTTGATTCTCTTCTCAGGATTGTTAAATGTCTCTTGTTCTCTGTCTTCACCCCCAATTCCATTGTTTCAATGTGATTCCTGTTCATTTTATAATGTCTCACTTCATGATTTCCAAATAGCATATTCCTGTGTGTGTCTCTGACACATGGTAAATAGTATGCTTTTAAGGGAGGGCTGCTGTTTTTTTTTTTTCCTCATGGGAAAAGAAAATTAGCAGACTGACAAATGTATTAGCAATGACACTAACCACAGACTTCCTAGCCTTGAAGATGAAATACTTGAAGCTTTCAGCAAATTTCAATTCTAAGAAAATCATGACTGTCGTCAAAGTGATTGATGAAGTAGAGTCATTCTCCAGTAGACATTTAAAATATTGTAAATAATTTTAATATAAAAATAGAGAAATACATAATTATTAATATAGTTATTATTATTAGCCATAAGCCATTGCTTTAGAAAATAATGAGGCAGTTAATTTATAAAGTATATGCCAAATGAGTTTTTATTTTTTTCCTTCATAAAAGTTAGGATCTATGCTTAAGACATTTAGTTATCTAGCTGTTTGGCTGTTTGATCTTGAACAAGTTTTCAAGTTGTTTTTTTTTTTTTCAAATTTTCAAGGCTTCAGTTTCCTTTTTTATCTCAATGTGCGATTTCATAGGTATAGCAAAAAACTCTCTCCAGTGATACAAATCTGAGACTCACATGTAATCTATAACTATTCTTAGAGTACTTTTGGTGCACTGAGAAGTTCAGTGATTTGCCCAGAATCACACAGCTAGCATGCATCTAAAACAAGAATTCAGAAACTGAACCCAAATGGAGGCAGTGTTGTACAGTAGAAAGAGCATTATCTCTGAAGTCAGATGACCTGGGTTTTAATCCTACTTTTGATGCTTACTACCTGTGTGCCTAAGGCAGGTTACATTACCTCTTTGGGCTTAGTTTCTCCACCTGTACAATGGAGAGGTTGAATTAGATGACCTATAATAACCCTTCTCATTCTAGATCTGTGATCTCTCTGACTTCAAAGTTGGCACTCTAGATAGTTTGTTTATTAGGATTTTGGAAGAACCCTTAAGGCTCCTTCTATCTCTGAAATTCCCAGGCTCCCCAAACTCCATATATGAAACTTTCTGAGGCACTTTATTTGTCCTCTCATGAAAGGTACATGGTGTCATGTACTTTGGTGGTACATAAAGCAGAGCTTGTTAAGGGAAGGGAGGAGGATTTGCTGTCATCCATGGAAAGCATTCTGCAGCTATGATCTGGTCAGCAATAATTAGGAAATCATTTTGCTGTCATTGTGACTGGCATTCAGCCTACCTGAAAGCCTACCCTCACTCTCTCCTTCCCCCTCCCCTCTCCTCCCCTGCTGAGCTAGAGTATTTAGCTTAACTGACTCCTAGGTGTTTTATGGCGCTTCTAACAATTTCATCAGCACCCTGTGATAGAGTGCTCCTGCTCTCTAAAGCTTAATCCGAAGATGAGAAGAACTGGGCAATCTTTCCTTTACGCATTCCATTGTGACTGCAGCCACTTCACTTTGCAAATCACAGACACAGACATATAAGTGATTTGGCTTAGTCCCCTTTCAGGTTAAATAGAAAATGTTTGATGGAATGTTGGGCTTATTGCATTATAGATCTGACATAAATTCCACAAAGGGCCAAGAAAGGGGATTTTTTTTTCCTTTCCCCAGCGAAAATTCCTTTTAGCTGTTGAAATGATCAGCTGCACTTTAAATGAACCTGGATTAGGAGGCCATTTGTCTTCGGAAGCATTAAGTCTAAGGGGAAAGAAAATGTGACCCTTTTAATAGTGGCTTTTATATTGTGGTCCAGGTTTATAACTTGAGCCCCTTCAAGCCCCTGCATCTTTGTAAGGATGCTTAAGTGATGTATTTCCCTCCATTTATATATTCCTTTTCTATATATGTATTTTAAAAAAATAAGAACCCAGGCCATTCCCATCTTTTCAATCTTCCAAGGATCAATATGTCAGTGGACATGACAGGCCCCAGACTCACTTCATTGTACTGCGAAATTGAGTTTGATTTTTCCCCCTACAAATTGTGGCTTGTGATTCAATTTGTCTGAAGAGTGATCATGTGGGGAGGGAAGCAGCTGCTGACAGTGGACAGCAACAGCTTCT